CGGATCTTTAATCCGAAATGTTGCGAGGGTCTCCACATCACGGCGTTTTCTGCACAAGAATACCAGCACACTGACACCCGCACACCGACACCCGCACACCGACACCCGCACACCCTCACACCCGCACTGTCACCCACACACCGACACCCGCACACCCGCACACCCGCACTGTCACCCGCACACTGTCACCCACACACCGACACCCGCACACCGACACCCGCACACCGACACCCGCACACCCACACTGTCACCCACACACCGACACCCGCACACCCGCACACCCGCACTGTCACCCGCACACTGACACCAGCACACCGACACCCGCACACCCGCACACCCGCACACCGACACCCGCACACCCGCACACCGACACCCGCACATCCCGCACACCGACACCAGCACACCCGCACACCGACACCAGCACACCGTCACCCGCACACCGTCACCCGCACACCGACACCCGCACACCCGCACACCGACACCCGCACACCCGCACACCGACACCCGCACACCGACACCCGCACACCGACACCCGCACACCCGCACACCGACACCCGCACACCGACACCAGCACACCGTCACCCGCACACCGTCACCCGCACCGACACCCGCACACCGACACCCGCACACCGACACCCGCACACCCGCACACCCGCACACCGACACCCGCACACCCGCACACCGACACCCGCACACCGACACCCGCACACCGACACCCGCACACCGACACCCGCACACCGACACCAGCACACCGACACCCGCACACCGTCACCCGCACACCCGCACACCGACACCCGCACACCGACACCCGCACACCGACACCAGCACACCGACACCCGCACACCGACACCCGCACACCCGCACACCGTCACCTGCACACCGTCACCCGCACACCGACACCCGCACACCGACACCCGCACACCGTCACCCGCACCGACACCCGCACACCCGCACACCGACACCCGCACACCGTCACCCGCACACCGTCACCCGCACACCGTCACCCGCACACCGTCACCCGCACCGACACCCGCACACCCTCACACTGACAACAACAACAACCGCCATTCGCCACTAAGTGGCAGTGACGTGCACTTTGAGGCCACGTGAAGTGTCAAATGCCCGCTGGCAAGAGGTCAAGGGGCAGACCCAGGTGCCAGGGGTCGACTGACTGAGATGACTTGCTGATGCACCACCTGTGCCCTCTACTGTGCCAACTTGCTGTGCTTTAGCCACTCGGCGCTCAGCTCGTTGTTGTGAGCGTCGCTCCTCCGCCTTCCGTTGTTGTTGGAGGGCGACTGCCTCCAACTGCCCAGTAGCGTCCTTCACGAGCCTCCTCCACAGAGACCGATCTTGACACCGCTGGTACAAGTCATCGGCAAGTCCACTCAGCTCCACATCCTCCTGTACCACATCACTTCATCTCCTCTCTAGCCCGTGCCGCGCCCGTTTAGCCCCCTCGATCCGGCCGAACAAAAGCTGTTTGGGCATGCGGTGATTGGGCATGCGGGCTACATGGCCCAGCCAACGCAGCCTTACCTGCCGGAGGAGCTCACCGATCTGACTTTGTCTAGATCTTTCGAGGATTTGTGAGCTCCTCACACAATCCAGCCTTGTTAAACCCAGGATTGATCATAGGCAGGCCCGCCTAAATGTTTCTAACCGGCGAAGATGTTCCATTAGGGGGGTCCACGTTTCGCAAGCGTAGAGAAGGGAGGAAATGACCGTGGCCGAGAAGACCTGAAGCTTCGTGCGGAGCGACAGACCAGGTAGCTTCCACACAGCGTTACACAACCGATGAAAAGATATTGCCGCTTGACTGATTCGGAGTGAGACCTCTGCTGTTAAACCGGAGCCGCTCATGAGCACACTGCCCAGGTATGGGAAACTCTCCACTCTCTCCACTACTGCCCCATCACCGATTGGGAGTTGTGGGGGTGGAGTGCCCGATGGTACAAAATACCAAGGCAGGTGCTTCGTTTTGGTGGGGCTGATGGTAAGGCCCCACCTCTTAGTGGCCCGCTCCAGTCTCAGCAGCAGCGTCTCCAACTCCTCCTCTGAACGAGCAGCTATTACCATATATAACGTGGTTGACCAATTGGGAGCCATCCCTTGACCACACCCAGGCATCGATCAGCCTCCCTTTGTATCTGTACCAGATGGAAATTCCTCCGATACAGCTATTGAAGGCTTCCCGAACTACGTGGCCGAAATAGATGTTAAATAATGTGGGAGCCAGAGGACATCCCTGTCGTACCCCAAGGTGTACAGCGAATGGCTCTGACTCCCGGCCATGTAGTTTTACCCGGGCCCGCTCACCATCATGAAGGTCCTTAATGATTGTGAGGAGCGGGTCAGGGACTCTGAAAGCAGGAAGAACAACCCAGAGCCCAGGCCTACTGATGGTATCACACTCACACCCGCACACCAACACCCGCACACCCTCACACCCTCACACCGACACCCTCATACCGACACCCGCACACCGACACCCGCACACCGACACCCGCACAGCGACACCCGCACACCGACACCAACTCACCGACACCTGCACACCGAGACCCTCACACCGACACCCCTACACCGACACCCGCACACCCGCACATCGACACCCGCACAGCGACACCAGCACAGCGACACCCGCACAGCGACACCCACATCTCGACACCCACACACCCGCACACCGACACCCACACACCCATACACCGACACCCACACACACGCACACTGGCACCCACACACCCATACACTGACACCCACACACCGACACCCACACACCCATACACCGACACCCACACACACGCACACCGACACCCACACACCCGCACACCGACACCCACACACCGACACCCGCACACCCGCACATCGACACCCGCACAGCGACACCAGCACACCGACACCCACACCCCCGCACACCGACACCCACACACCGACACCCACACACCCATACACCGACACCCACACACCCGCACACCGACACCCACACACACGCACACTGGCACCCACACACCCATACACCGACACACCCACACACCCATACACCCGCACACCCACACATCCGCAAACCCGAAAACACCGACACCCACACACCCATACACCCGCACACCCGCTCACCGACACCCACACACACGCACACCCGTACATCGACACACCCACCATCCCAACACCTGCACACCGACACCCACACTCCCGCACACTGACACCCACACTCCCGCACACCCACACACCCGCACACCCCCACACACACACCTGCACACCGACACCCACACACCCATACACCCGCACACCGACACCCACACCCACACACCCACACACCCGCACACCCGCATACCCGCACACCGACACCCACACACCCACACACCCGCACACCGACACCCACACACCCACACACCCGCACACCCGCATACCCGCACACCGACACCCACACACCCACACACCCGCACACCGACACCCACACACCCACACACCGACACACCGACACACCGACACCCACACACCCGCACACCGACACCCACACACCCACACACCGACACACCGACACACCGACACCCACACACCCGCACACCGACACCCACACACCCACACACCGACACACCGACACACCGACACCCACACATACGCACACCGACACCCGTATACCGACACCCACACACCTGCCCACCCGCACACCGACACCCACACACCCGTACACCGACACCCACACACCGATACCCACCGAGGCTGCATCCTTGCCCATGGGGGACAAGAAGGGCCCCCCCCAACCCACCCTCAGCCCCCCCGAGGACTCCGGGACTGAGTTGCAGCCGGCCGATGTTGTCGATGATTGCTGGCACCACATCGCTCTCGGCGCAAGGAGCAACGACCCGCAAACTCTCCCGGTGCGAGTTGTGGGTGGGGGGTTTTTCCATTTCGCATGCCACTTTAGAAAAAAATCACGTACCGTTTTGTCACAGAAATTGGACGCGGGCAGGAGGCATGTCGATATATTTTTTTGTCAAAACTTTAAAGGAAAATATAATTGAATTTTAATTGGTAAAGTTTCTTGCCAAGGCAAATGTGTACTCTCTGACGAGTCCAGGCTCTGAGAGGGGCAGTTAAGGGTGTGCAAAGTTAAAGGTAAAGATCCCCCGTGTAAACATTCAGCCAGCTGGAGCAAGTGCCAGTTGTCTCCCCAGTCAGCGATGATGTTTACGCACCGCAAGAGCTTCTCGGCTTTAAGGCTGAGTCAACCTGGGGGAAGGGCCAGGTCCAGTAAGGATATTCATCACCGGTGCTTGTGGCCGCGAGTGGGAACGGGTCTCATGTTGGCAGGTTCGTGGCGCGGTGCGCTCACTGCCGCACCGCCGCTCCCAACACGCGCGCCCATCCGGGCTCACGGCGAGCGTTGCCTCCTGCGAGCAGGAGGATGAGAAGGACGCGATGCATCCCACGTGGATAATCTCCGCTCGCGAGCGCAGCCGAGAAGCGTCTCTTACGACAGAAGTCGCGGCGACACGGGGCATCGCGGTGGGGGGGGGGGGGGTGGTGCATGGTTCCCACCCCCCACCCACGGGGCCGCCCCACCGAGCGTGCCGCATGGTGTTTGATTGGTGCTCCCCTCCCGTCTCGCCCGGCGATCGCGGAATTCCGACGGCGCCACGCGGTCCGGACGAGCGCCGCTGGAGCGTGCGAGAGCCCCCAACCCCCCCCCCCCCCGCTCAGCAGGGGAAACTCTCCGTCTCCAGGTGAGACATCTGGAGCTTCCCCTCTCCGTCTGCAACACGGCGTGACTCCTGGGAGAGACCATTGTAGCTTTCCGCCGCAGACATCGTTCGACCTCAGTCAAGCCACGATGTTTCTCGTCCTGGGGGTGCTGCCGCCGCCACCCGAGGAGCGGCACCTCGGCCTCCTCTTCCGCACTTTGCTGGACGTCTACGTGAGGGAATGCGAGCTACCCGACGCCGTACCCCACCCGCGTGGGATCGGCTAACCGAGGGGACCCGGGGAGGACGCTCGCTCACCGGGGCCGGTGCGGTTGGCGCGCGAGGTGAACACGGCGCCCGAGAAGCCGGCCTGCACCGGGCGGAAGTTGTCGCGCAAGTAGTCCACCACCTTGCTGAAGCCCAAGCGCTCCGTCGTGAAGATCCCGCAGAAGCGCGACAGCTGCCACGGCAGAGACGTGGGGGGCGGGGTTCCAGGAAGGAGTGGGGGGGTGAGAGGGGAGATGGGGCCAGAAGGAAGAGACGGGGTCATAGGTAAAATGGGACACACACAAGTATCACCGAAACAGACTTTTGGGGCCAGTGCGGTTAGCGAGTCGCACCTATGAAAGCCGGCACGGCACACGAGGGGGTGGGTAGCCAGCAACATGCCCGGCCACCTTTGTCTCCCCAGTGGCGATGTTTATACATTGCACCAAGTACTCATTTGAGGCTGAGTCGACCTAGGGGAGGCCCAGGACCGGTTCAGATAATCGTCACTAGTGCTGGCCGTGAGAGGGAATCGAACTCGAGTCGCCGAGTTCGGAACGCGGCGCGTTAACCGTTGCACTACCGACACAAACAGACACACAAAGACCCGCACAGACACACGCACGCGCGTGCGTGTGTGTGTGGAGCGACGACAAGGCGTGCACGCACCTGGCTTCGGGAGATGGGCACGGGCATGCGCAGCACAGTCCACAGGAGTCCCTCGCGGCACGGCGGCGCCGTCAGCGAGCCCGCGTAGCGAAAGTAGTCCCCCGTGTCCTCGGGCAGCAGAGCCCGTGGCACCAGCGTCGACATGGCGCTCGACTTCTCTGTGCACGGGACACGAGGACACCACAGGGACACGGGGTCACGGTCACCTCACCTGCACCACGGCGGTGCAGTACAGCAAGCACTACCTGGGTTCGATTCCTGATTCCAGGCGACTGTCTTTCTGTGTGTGGAGTTTGTTTGTTCTCTCCCCCCTGGGTTTTCCGGTTTCCCTCCCCATAGCAAAAAGAAAACGAAAAAGAACAACGATGTAACCGTTTTTTGGGCGAAAAGAACACTTTCGCAATGGCAATAAATGACACTGCAGATCACTCAATTGGGATCACACAGCAGTCGTGACCTCTTCTTACTGCCATAAACTTGGCAGGACCCTCCCGGAAAAAATCTTGAGGCTCAACGAGGCTTTCCCCAGGTGAACGAGTGGAATGACGATCACATGAACAGCGATCACATGAACAGTAACCAGTACGGTCCTGCACACATAATACTAATACGCGCCATTCGCCACTAAGTAACGGTGACGTCACCACGGCGCCTGTGCCAGGCTCGGTGCACTTTCAGGCTATCACGTCAAGTGTTGAAGGCTCGCCAACAGGAGGTCACGGTACAGAGCCAGGTGCCATCGGTTGACTGACTGAGATGACTGGCAGATGCCCCAGCTATACCTCCTCCTGTGCCAACACGTGCACTGCCTTGCACGCACACGAGCATGCCTCCCACCCTTGCGCTCCCCTGCCCCCACTTGCCCCCCCGCACCCGCTCCTCACCCCTCTCCATCAGCCCCCCCGCACACATGCACGAACAGCCCCATGTACAACTCAACGTAATTAAATGCAACGAAACATCTCAGAGCCTAGAGACCCCCTACTAACGGCAGCTTGCCCTGTGTGGCACAAACTGCGAATAGGGTATTCGGCTAGCTAGTCGGGGGCTGATGATTGCTGCCCAGCGCGCGATCCAAAATAAGGCGACGGTTTCAAGATGCGAAAGTGACCCCTGCATGCGGCCCGACGCGGAAGATCTCACAGTGCTAAGCAGCATTCGAGCACGGTTCGACTGTTGCGTGGAGACTGACTGCATGGGGGATACCAGGTGTTGTAGGCGTGGTGAATACCAGGTGTTGTAGGCTTGGTGAATACCAGGTGTTGCAGGCGTGGTGAATACCAGGTGTTGTAGGCGTGGTGAATACCAGGTGTTGTAGGCATGGTGAATACCAGGTGTTGTAGGCGTGGTGAATACCAGGTGTTGTAGGCGTGGTGAATACCAGGTGTTGTAGGCGTGGTGAATACCAGGTGTTGTAGGCGTGGTGAATACCAGGTGTTGTAGGCGTGGTGAATACCAGGTGTTGTAGGCGTGGTGAATACCAGGTGTTGTAGGCGTGGTGAATACCAGGTGTTGTAGGCGTGGTGAATACCAGGTGTTGTAGGCGTGGTGAATACCAGGTGTTGTAGGCGTGGTGAATACCAGGTGTTGTAGGCGTGGTGAATACCAGGTGTTGTAGGCGTGGTGAATACCAGGTGATGTAGGCGTGGTGAATACCAGGTGTTGTAGGCGTGGTGAATACCAGGTGTTGTAGGCGTGGTGAATACCAGGTGTTGTAGGCGTGGTGAATACCAGGTGTTGTAGGCGTGGTGAATACCAGGTGTTGTAGGCGTGGTGAATACCAGGTGTTGTAGGCGTGGTGAATACCAGGTGTTGTAGGCGTGGTGAATACCAGGTGTTGTAGGCGTGGTGAATACCAGGTGTTGTAGGCGTGGTGAATACCAGGTGTTGTAGGCGTGGTGAATACCAGGTGTTGTAGGCTTGGTGAATACCAGGTGTTGTAGGCGTGGTGAATACCAGGTGTTGTAGGCGTGGTGAATACCAGGTGTTGTAGGCGTGGTGAATACCAGGTGTTGTAGGCGTGGTGAATACCAGGTGTTGTAGGCTTGGTGAATACCAGGTGTTGTAGGCTTGGTGAATACCAGGTGTTGTAGGCGTGGTGAATACCAGGTGTTGTAGGCGTGGTGAATACCAGGTGTTGTAGGCGTGGTGAATACCAGGTGTTGTAGGCGTGGTGAATACCAGGTGTTGTAGGCGTGGTGAATACCAGGTGTTGTAGGCGTGGTGAATACCAGGTGTTGTAGGCGTGGTGAATACCAGGTGTTGTAGGCGTGGTGAATACCAGGTGTTGTAGGCGTGGTGAATACCAGGTGTTGTAGGCGTGGTGAATACCAGGTGTTGTAGGCGTGGTGAATACCAGGTGTTGTAGGCTTGATGAATACCAGGTGTTGTAGGCGTAGTGAATACCAGGTGTTGTAGGCGTGGTGAATACCAGGTGTTGTAGGCGTGGTGAATACCAGGTGTTGTAGGCTTGGTGAATACCAGGTGTTGTAGGCGTGGTGAATACCAGGTGTTGTAGGCGTGGTGAATACCAGGTGTTGTAGGCGTGGTGAATACCAGGTGTTGTAGGCTTGGTGAATACCAGGTGTTGTAGGCGTGGTGAATACCAGGTGTTGTAGGCGTGGTGAATACCAGGTGTTGTAGGCTTGGTGAATACCAGGTGTTGTAGGCGTGGTGAATACCAGGTGTTGTAGGCGTGGTGAATACCAGGTGTTGTAGGCTTGGTGAATACCAGGTGTTGTAGGCGTGGTGAATACCAGGTGTTGTAGACGTGGTGAATACCAGGTGTTGTAGGCGTAGTGAATACCAGGTGTTGTAGGCGTGGTGAATACCAGGTGTTGTAGGCTTGGTGAAGACCAGGTGTTGTAGGCGTAGTGAATACCAGGTGTTGTAGGCTTGGTGAATACCAGGTGTTGTAGGCTTGGTGAATACCAGGTGTTGTAGGCGTGGTGAATACCAGGTGTTGTAGACTTGGTGAATACCAGGTGTTGTAGACTTGGTGAATACCAGGTGTCGTAGGCGGGTTGAATACCATGTGTTGTAGGCGTGGTGAATACCAGGTGTCGTAGGCTTGGTGAATACCAGGTGTTGTAGGCGTGGTGAATACCAGGTGTCGTAGGCGTAGTGAATACCAGGTGTTGTAGGCGTGGTGAATACCAGGTGTCGTAGGCGTAGTGAATACCAGGTGTCGTAGGCGTGGTGAATACCAGGTGTCGTAGGCGTGGTGAATACCAGGTGTCGTAAGGTTGGTGAATACCAGGTGTTGTAGGGTTGGTGAATACCAGGTGTCGTAGAGTTGGTGAATACCAGGTGTCGTAGGCGTAGTGAATACCAGGTGTTGTAGGCGTGGTGAATACCAGGTGTCGTAGGCGTGGTGAATACCAGGTGTTGTAGGCGTGGTGAATACCAGGTGTTGTAGGCGTGGTGAATACCAGGTGTCGTAGGCGTAGTGAATACCAGGTGTTGTAGGCGTGGTGAATACCAGGTGTTGTAGGCTTGGTGAATACCAGGTGTCGTAGGGTTGGTGAATACCAGGTGTTGTAGGCGTGGTGAATACCAGGTGTTGTAGGCTTGGTGAATACCAGGTGTTGTAGGCGTGGTGAATACCAGGTGTTGTAGGCGTGGTGAATACCAGGTGTCGTAGGCTTGGTGAATACCAGGTGTTGTAGGCTTGGTGAATACCAGGTGTTGTAGGCGTGGTGAATACCAGGTGTTGTAGGCTTGGTGAATACCAGGTGTCGTAGGCTTGGTGAATACCAGGTGTTGTAGGCGTGGTGAATACCAGGTGTTGTAGGCTTGGTGAATACCAGGTGTTGTAGGCTTGGTGAATACCAGGTGTTGTAGGCGTGGTGAATACCAGGTGTTGTAGGCTTGGTGAATACCAGGTGTTGTAGGCTTGGTGAATACCAGGTGTTGTAGGTGTAGTGAATACCAGGTGTCGTAGACGTGGTGAATACCAGGTGTCGTAGGTGTAGTGAATACCAGGTGTTGTAGACGTGGTGAATACCAGGTGTTGTAGGCTTGAGGTGGTCAACGTGGCAGAACTGCAATGGAGTATTGAATCCAACTGTGCAGAGGCGTGAGCAGCCAGCCCCCCACGTATGCGTGGTGGGTTTGCTCGGGGGTCGTGTGGCTCCCTCATTGAAGGAAATGGGTCAAAATATCCCAATGTAGCAGCACCCTCCTTGTGAAGGAGTTCTGAGCAGGAGGCTTGCCTGGGTTTAATACAAGGCAAAGGTGCAGCTCTGCAAGTGCTTGTTGGCACAAGAGATGTGCGGCATCATTATTACGACACACACTCAGCCCCACGGCGCTAATATCCTCTTCTTTTTTCCAGGAGAGGGTCTCAAGACTACTATTCGGGATGGTCCTGCCACAAATGTTCACAGTAGGAGAGGGTGATGATCGCTGCTGCTGTGCGTTCTAGCTTAGGGGCATCCCCAGTGGCAGCTGTGCCACACTCATGCTCGCACACCAATGGGGGAGGGGGGGTGCACCTCCCCACCTCCCACGAGAAGACAAAGGCGGTGGTGTCACCCCGATGTCTACCAAGAGAGAGAGCTCGAGACCAATTTTTCCCACACTCAATAACGCGGAGCGCAGGGGGGGGGGGGGGTGTTGCGAGAGTGGCTGCATATGCCGCCTTTAACACGCCATAAATTTCACACTCCCTCGCACTCCCTCGCACTCCCCCGTGCACGTACTCGCACGCACGCACGCACACGGGCACGCACGCATGCCTCGCTTTGTACGACTGCAGTCTTACCCAGTTGACACTTATTTTTTCAATTTCTCGTTTGTATATATAAACATCTCGCTTCGTTCCAAATCCAAATTACGGTAAAGGGGGAAAAAAACGACACGTGGGAGCCTTTACTCTTTTATACATTTGCACATCGCCCCAATCATCGCCCCAATCATCGGCACCATCATCGTCACCATCATCGTCACCATCATCGTCACCATCATCGGCACCATCATCATCCCGGCTCCTCGTTGCCTCGTCGCCACACCTACATCCCGTTCCCCTCGGCAGCACCGCGGTCTTCTCTCGGCGCGGTTTGAAAGTGAAATTAAGAGAGGCGCGAGAGACGCCGTGGCTGTGGTGGCCACAATCTCTCATCCTGTCTCCCTCCCTTTCTTGGCCCATTAAACTGAT